TACCTGCTGCTCTCTTTGCAGCAACATGCACATGGAAGAGGATTGCTCTGAGCAGGGGCTCCTGCCACCATTTTTCTTGCTTGATCACTGCTACCAGTGGTGGCAATGCAGTCATGGGACTTGATTCCTGATGCACTCACCATGAACTTGGATTCTGGCCCACTGCAAAGTGATTGGAATCCCGAAGGAGTGGAGGTGCGCCTGACATTCACCCTTTACACATTTCAGTGCCAGGTTAAAACCTTTTTATTTGCCCGTCATTTTAATTGTTGAGCCAGTAGGATGCCTTTATACTGGTTTTTATATAATGATTGGTCATTGTGGATGAATTGTTTTTGTATTTATTACTTATTTTTATTTATGTGGTTACTATAGTTATGTTTTGTGACAATTATGTAGATGTTTTATGTTTTTGCTGTTTTAATCAATATATACCATTCTGAGACTGTTCTCTAAAGAACAGTTTATAAAAACTTTAAACAAGCAGACAAATGATAAAAATTGTTTCTAGCCTCTCCAGAAGCACATAGATTTATGTTTTCCTAATCCTGACACTAGTATGGCTATTACCCTTAACACTAAAGACTGATATACTCTGGTGAATTCCAAAACTTGCACAAAGACAGTACACACTAAGTTCCTACTGACTCCACATTTTTTCAGTCCAGTCTGGATCAGTTCAAGAGCAACAAAAAGGGCTTCTTTCAGCATGTAAATAGGAAGAGGAAGAGGAGACAAGTAGTGGAACCACTAAATAAGGAGGAAGGAGATCCAGTGGGAACAGGCACAGATGCTAAATGACTATTTTGCCTCTCTGTTCTCCCCAAAGCAGGATGGGGAATATCCACATAAGAGATTAGATGAGGCTGGGGACTTAGGGGCACAGATTAGAGTCATCCCCCTTGAAGTCGAGGGGCTCCTCAGGGCATTGGACATTACAAAGGCACCAGGCCCTGACGGGTTACACCCGAGAGTACTTAGAGAATTGGCAGGGGTTCTCTCACGCCCACTGGCCTTCATTTTTGAGGCCTTGTGGAGAATGGGTGAAGTTCCAGAGGACTGGAGGGTGGCGCCAGTGGTCCCAATTTTCAAAAACGTTAGTAGAAGGGACATAGGGAATTACAGACCAGTTAACAATGGAAAGGCTCACAATAGAGAGAGATCTAGTGATGCTATATAGGGAAGGGAGGCCGGCAGCCACACAACACAGCTTCCGCAAAAACAGATCATGCCAGACAACCCTTGTGGAATTTGAGGTGGTAGATGGAGAGGATGCAGTGGATGTGGTTTACCTGAATTTCAGCAAGGCCTTTGACAAAGTGCCCCATGATATCCTGGTGGAGAAACTGAGGAGTTTTGGGATACACCAAAGCACTGTCCGGTGGATTAGGGCATGGTTGACTGACCGAAAGCAGAGGGTAACCATTAGTGGGGAATCATTGGGATGGCGGCCAGTGTCAAGTTGGGTCCCCCAGGGCACTGTCCTGGGGCTGATCCTGTTTAATCTTTTCGTAAATGAAATGGAAGAAGGGGTGAACAATCTGCTGATCAAATTCGCAGATGATACTAAAACTGGGGCAGTGGTGACAACTGAGAAGCAGGTACTCCAAATCCAAAAGGATCTGGACAGACTATGGAAGTGGGCAGGAGACAACAGGATGGTGTTCAATGTGGATAAGTGCAATCCTTGCACTTGGGGCATAGGAATAAGTGTCATAAGTACAGGTTAGATGACAAGTGGCTGGAGAGCAGCACTTGTGAAAGGGACCTCAGGGTACTGGTTGACTGAAGGCTAAACATGAGTCAGCAGTGTGATGCGGTGGTCAAGAGGGCGAACACCACCCTTGGTTGCATAGCCAGAAGTGTGGCTTCTTGATCAAGAGAGGTATTACTACCACTCTATATGACTCTAGTGCACTCGCAACTGGAGTATTGTTTTCAGTTTGGGCCCCTTATTACAGAAAGGATATAGCCAGGTTGGAGTCAGTGCAGTGTAGGACCACAAGTTTCATGGTCGGTTTGTAGGGGATGCCGTATGAGGCGAGACTGAGGGAACTGGGTCTCTTCAACCTGGAGGAGACTCAGAGGGGATCTGTTGGCGACATATAGGTATGTGAGGGGATGTCACACAGAGGTGGGTAGAGACCTGTTCTCCCCTGTAGAGGAAGGCAGGACGTGTTCCAACAGAGCAAAGCTCAGGGAGCCAAGGTTCCATTTAGTTTCCAGGAAGCACTTCCTGACAGTTAGGACCCCAAGGGTATGGAATGGGCTTCCACGGGAGATGGTTGAGGCTGCATCGGTGAGGGTGTTCAAAGAAAGGCTGGACATGCACATGGTGGGCATGTCATAAGTGGAGTTGGCTGGAGCTGGGGGTCAGATTAGATAGCCGGGGAGGCCCCTTCTGACTCTCTCTTTCTATGTTTCTATGTTCCAGTCTTTTCAGTATGTGCAAGGACCCATGTTTTCCTAACTCCAACTTTAATCTGTTTCATAACCGTAAATCTACAAGCCTGGTATGGTCTCTGTAAATTGCAGCAGCTTGCACAAAATCAGGGGACACTGGTTTCCTCTGACTGCTCAATTGTCCTATCCCATCTGAACTAATTCCAGGCCCTACTTATCCAAAGGGACCTGTGTTTTCCCAACACTAACCCTACACTTGCTATTAAACCTAACACTAAAAAATTAGTATAGTTCTGGTGCATTGCAACACCTTGTAAAAAGAGCACTCTGGGTTCCTGTTGATTGCTCACACTTTCTACCCCATTTGGACTAGTTCCAAGCCCCTTGGCAATCACAGGAACTTAAGTTTTTCTAACACCAACTCTAAACTGCCTCTTAATCCTAACATGGATATGGTCATATGGCCTCTGTGAATTGCAAGCATTTGCACAATTCAGGAGACACTGGGTTCCTGTAGAATACTCAGTTTTACTCCCTCATTTGGAATAGTTCCAGGACCATTATGCACAAGGACCTATGTTTTCCTAAGCCTAGCACTAACCTGTCTATTAAACCTATCCCTGTCTGGTATACACATTATGAATTGCAAAAAAAAAAAAAAAAAAAAAGCAGAGCCAGCCCACACTTAATTCCTGTTTACCACTCAAATTGTCTACCTTTCTCTAGACTATTTCCTAGCCCATAGGCATGCTCAGAAACTTATTTTTATTTATTTATTTATTTTCATTCTTATACCACACTGTAGCTGAGGCTCTCTGGGCAATTATGTTTCCTCAACCCTTATGTACTATTGTATTTCAATGTATTTTATCATGTTGTAAGACGCCCCGAGGTTTCAGCAAGGGGCGGCATAGAAATGTAATAATAATAATAATAATAATAATAATAATAATAATAATGCTAATCTGTCTTCTAACCTGAAACATACCAGGCTAGACAAACCTTTCTTCCAGAATGTCTTAACTTCTTCACCCTTTTTGTCCTTGCTATCAAGTTAAGAATATAAGAGCATAAGAAGAGCTGAATTAGAACAAAAGTCCTCTTCTCCAATGTTCCATTTCCAATAGCTAACCAGAAACCTGTGGGAAGGCCAGAACCAGAATCTTATCTCATTTAGCAGTCATGTTTCCCAGGAACTATTCGAAGACATATTTCTTCTGATGCTAGAGACAATGCAACAATTTAGACCAGCAGTCTAAACTGCTTCTTGCCACTACATCTTGTAGAAGCAATTTCTTTAGTGTAATTATGTGTTGTGTTACTTATGTTAATTCTTGTGGATGCCCTCCACCCTAGCATCCCTCCTCCTGCTTTTTTTTTTCTTCATTATTGCTTATTAGCATTTCAAAGTATTTTGTAGAGAAGTGACTAAAAGAGTTCTGCAGCTAGATATGGACCATCCTGTCTTCATATACATTTGGGACATAGAGAAGAAATCCTGAGTTCTGGGAATGTAAGCCCTCTAAAATAATCAACACCACTTGAAGACAACATATTTGCATTGTGTCCAGATCCAGTCAGAGTTTTAAACTGAGCTTGGGAATTCCACAGGGCAATAACTGTGGGGAAATATTATTGGGCAGAATACATAATTGGGAGTTGTGCTGTGTTGTACAAAGATAAAAACTGTCAGTTACTCAGGTGCTGAACAACTCTCACAACCCTTGATCAGTGGTGAGGTGATGCAAGAGCTGTTTCACCCTCAAATATGCCATGATGACTGGGTTTGCATGACACAGTGAACACCCAATTGGAAGTGGCATATTCTAAATGGCAGCTGCACATCCCGCAGTGCATGAGTTACAATCCATGACGCCACCATTCAGGCAGAACTCTTGCTTAGTATACATGCCCGGAAAGGCTTTATTTTGCATTTCTTCTTGTCACCCCGCACCTTCATATTGCATTTGGGAGGAAAACTTATTTTTAAAAATGTTCCTCCATGTGAAATATTCCACGCAGAAAAGTAGACTGGAATAGAACATTTCTTGCATTTCTGCTTGTCACGCTGCTAGGATGTAGAGAAAAAACATAACAAAACCTGCCGTGTGTATTGTGTACGAATGTGCGTCAATTTAGATGTAGAAAAGAACCTACAGTAAAACATGAGAAATGTTTTACATGAGAAACATGAGAGACACGAGCAGAGGAAGACAATCCTATAAACATCCATTCTGAAGTCTGTCTCAGTACATTAAATCAAGCTTACTGGCAAGTAAGTGAATATAGGATCTCCTCGTAAATCTGTGTCTGGCAGTTTCTTCTTCCCTCCTTGCACTTTTACACTATGGAAAAGACACGAATGGGGAGAGTAAACAAGGATTGGTCTTTGGCATCTAAAGCAAAAAATGCAGAAGGAAAAAAGGCGTAGCTGCCAGACTAAGATAACGCGAACGAGAATACGCCCCGTTCCGGATGCAACGGCAACGTTGGAGGACGAGTCTAAAGCAGCCAGCCCAGCGCAGTCCGCCCTGGCCCACCCGCACTGCGCGCCGCGCCGCCCTGCTCTCCACCCCTCGGTTTAGTGGGAAGCCAATGGGCGCGGGGAATGTTCGCAGCTGGGAGGTGGCCGGGTTGCTACAGCAGCGGTCCTATTAGCGGCGGCGACCAGGAGTCGGAGGAAGAGGGGGCAGGTGTGGTGCGCCATGGAAGTGCTGGATGGTAAGCGTGGCCTGAAGGAAACCACAGAAGAGGAAGGTCGGTCTGTTGGGGAAAGCGAGAGCCCAGCCGCCCTGTCTCTTAGAAAGGACGGTAGACTTTCTGAGAGTAGCGAGGCAAGGCCGAGCCTTTGTGTTCGTACCAGGTTGGGGGTGGGCGAGAGGGTGTGCCCTGAAGGCGAAGTGGGGAGTCGGCGCAGGATGAGGGGAGGGATGAGAAAGACGCGAACCCCACCTTTCACTGATATGCCTCTACCCTTCCATATTTTCCGCTTGGGAGGCGCTGAAGGGGAAGGGGCGGTATGGGGAGAGGGTCGCCCTCTTAGTCCACGCCCCTCTGAAGTGCGTCCCACTCCAGCCCTCTGTACACCGCCATCTCTTCTCCCCGTTTGCTAGCGGGACTGCTGCCCTTTAGGGGTTCAGTCTCAGGTGGCCCTGCTTTCCTGTCACTCCCTATTAACAAAATCCATCGCCGCAGGGCCCTAAGGCAGACTGGCAGGGGCGATTGCGTGTATTTACCAAGGAGAGGTTGATTGGGAATGTCAAAAGTTGAGGAACGGGAGGCGGGGAGTCTAAAAAGGTCCCTTTTATTAGTGTGGGATTTTCTAGACATGTATTGCTGCAGAACAATACCGGTTTAAAACAACTAAGACTGACAGATTTTGAAGTTTCAGGGTTTTTTCTTTTTAATCTATCTTAATAAATGACTCATCTCTGTATTATATTGCATCTATTAACAGATTTGAGCCAAGGATGATAGTGGAAAAAAGAAAAATGGTTGTACATTGTGTTAAATTATTACTATTTAAAATTTATTTTTTTCCAGTCTAAAATATGTCACATGGTTAATAAAAGCATAAAATTCCAGATAACTATTTTTAATTCAAGTCTGCTAGTCTGTGTAGATTTTAGCTTTCAATTAAAACAGAGTAAAATGGGGGTAGGATTATTGCAGTGTTATTTGTGGGAGGCAATGCTTAAACCTTGTGGTCTTGGAATGGGCCCTATGCTAGCCTAGGAAATTTCTTGAGAAGCTTTTCTGGCTTGTCATTGTTACCTCATTCCAAAGCAATGACCTTGTATGGCTAAGTTGAGAATACATAGTTTTCTTGTTCCTTTAAGAAAATGTAGTATATTACCTCTTCCCTCTGTAGAGGGAAGCATTCTTGTTACAGTTAACCAACAGAATACTCATTTAGTTTTTGCCCTGGATAGCTGATATTCCATGAATGATGACAGCATTATTTGTCATCTTGTCACCTTCTCTCTCTTTGTGTTAATTTTACAGTAATCACAGCAGACAAATGCTTTTTCGTACTGACAATGTTTGACTTTTCTTGCATTATAGGAGAGGGCATGTTTTTACTAAGAAAAATGTAGAAATAATCAGACCTCAAGAAAAAATTGAAAATGTAGCCTCGTAGGACTGTAACCTATCTGAGCTGCAGACCCATCTATAGGCTGCTTAAATTTCATTACAGTCATTAGACACACAAGAATTATAACCATTTGCCTTTAAAAACACAATCTTATGCATATTTAGGCAGAAGACATTGCTGAAATTCCCAGCATTCTCCAGTCAGTTCTCTGAGGAGTGCTGGGATTTGTAGGATTTCTTCCAGCTAACCATGCATAGGATTCCACCCACAAGACACAGAACTACTACAAATAACTTCATGTCTGAAAATATGTGTGTCAGATTTATGAATAATTCTTGGTTTAAGCAGGTTATACTTACAACATAAATGTACATAATTTTTAAAAAGTATTCTTATTAAGAATATTTGCCTGGGACCAAAAACAGAAGTAATGCAAGTGATCTGTAGTTGGTAGTTAACAACTTTCTGGGAGTCACTTTTCTTGACTAAGTGATTGCATTTCATGTCAGGGGTTAATATGGGAAGTTCAGACAGATGGCACATGGGTGCCATCAGAGGTCCTTGCCCTATCTCTTAGGATTTTCAGTTCAGCAAGCAAAAAGTGTGATTAGCCTACCTTCATCCTTGCAACCGTTTCCAAGCAGGCCCTAGGTTTGCAGATATAGGGGATGAATAATCCTGTTTAAATCAGACTTGAATTTTTAAATTCTTAGAAAACATGGACTTCCTATTCAGAATGGCTGACGTTACTCATGTTCAGTTTACATTTTATTTAGAACTATTGATTTTATGAATATACAAATTTTATTAATATTACAATTCTGTAGTTATCTACCAAAAAGTATGGTAGTCAAAAAGTGTGACTTCAGTGTTGCTTATTTCCAGATACAGGATTGTGCATAGGATAATAGTTTAATACTTGTTTATTTCACTGACAGTCTTAAAGTGCCTTCCTGTGGAGATGAATGTATGCTCCTGCACTTGATTTTGAATAAATGTTGAGTAAGAAATACTGATATATTAGAAGCATGCTTTGCTTTCAGAAACTGTATGTATGAAATTTATGGATACATCTGTTCTCTTCAAGGGCTGGGAAGTAGCATTACTAAAGCAGCACTGCTGGTTTAAGATTTCTGTAAAGTAGACTTTGAAGTCTGGTGAAGAAAATAGGCCATATATTACAGACTGCTATAGAGCTCAGTTTCTATAAATATGAGGGCTGTTGAAAGTTTTTACTTCTTTCCTTTGACTTATGGGTCAGTACATGCTAAGGTTGTCAAGTTTTTAATAACTAAATTTTGATAGTTAACCAGGTTCCCTGTGGGGCTCAGGATTAAGGCGCACTGACCAGGAATGGCACTCAGAGGTAATGGCACAGTGGTCACAGAATATTACCTTTCACAGGAGATACCCTGGACCCATGCATCCTTGCCTTTCTGAAAGACATGGACTGTATAGCGCTGTCTTCCTTGGGACCTGCCTCTTCAGGGCAGTGGGAGCCTTGACACAGCAGCTTCTGGGGAAGCTGGTTGCATGTGCCTCTCTTTGGTGAGGGACATGCAGAGCTGACTTTCCAGAGCTTTGTCTCTGTCTGTACATGAGAAAAGAATGTGTGCTTGGGGGGCGGGGGGTACCTTCTCCTTGCATAGAACCCTTAACATCTTTTCCCTTGTCCACATGTGGCTGTTTGGCCAAAATTTCTCACTGGTGATCTAGAGTGTACAGCTATTGCATGTGCTTTCAAGGCCCCTGCCCATGTTTGCATATCTAATAGTCTGGAATACAGAGGGATAAGAACCACAACGGAATAACAAAAAGATAGTCAACAGTGAATGGACCCTGCTTCTGGCTACATATTGTTTCTTGTACCACATTTATATAGCATGGTATTAATAACTTACTTTGAAGACATTCTAGAAAACCCATAGAGATGGAAAACTGAGTCTAAAATTCTCTTCTCTGAAGAAAACATTGAAAATTCATGGCAGAGATCTCAAAACCCACATAAAGCAGATTACTTAAGGAACTGGGGTCCACAGATTAAATTGAGTTGCAAGTATTTATTATCAATGCATGTATGCATCTAGAATCTTTTGTGTACTGTACAATCTCTGTGCTCCTCACCCTGCCTTCTCATATATACAGGTATCCCTTGCTTAACACAGTTTTTATTAATGCAGGTTTTGATTAACATGGTAAAATTAATTGTAGCAATCCCTTGATATATGTGACAGAATTTTAATTAACACACCTTTTAAAATTTGCCACAAGCAGTCGTGGGCATCATAACATCATTCCTCTCACCCAACTGTGATCTCAGGGCTCCTGCGAGGCTGGCATTGGTGGTGTTTGTATTACGAACTCCAATTATTCATTGTAAGTTTTAGAACCCATTGACCATCTCAAAGAATCAGAGCACCAGGCAAAGAAAGGAAAAGGAAAGTAATATCCTTAGGTAAAAAACTTGATTTAATTAAAAGATTTAAAAGTGCCGATGAAGTCGCTGTATTTGCATTTCCTGCTGAGCTGCAGAAAATTATCAAGGAAAATAATTACGATTACCACCAAATTTTCAACATAAATGAAACTGCCCTATTCTGAGAAAAATGCCATCTAGAACTTTTATATCAAAACAAGCAGCACATCTTTGTTATAAAATATCAAAAGATCTCATAACTATTATGCTTGAAGGGAATGCAAATGGAGATTTTAAAATGAAGCCACTGCTTGTCCACCAAACTGAGAACTCAAGGGCTTTACAAGGATGTAACAAGATCTCTTTACCTGTACTTTGGAAGTCAAATCGTGAGGCTTATAATTTGCACCATTAATTTTTAGATTTGATTGTGGTTTTAATATACACAGCAATATTGTGTGATCAATTAACAGCATTAATTGAGGGATACCTATACACAAATATACAATAGCACACACTACAGAAATTATGTACCACTACTGTTCTTGCTATTGCCTCAAGAAGATGTGTGAAGAGACTTACACTGTGCTTAGCTGGTAGTTTGATTGGCGAACATTTTATTTATTTATTTAAAACATTTCTATGCCGCCCCATTCGCAAAGAGCCTTGGGGCGGCTTACAAAACAAACTGTACTCACAATTAACCTTAAAAACCCGGAGACATCTCGGCACAATATAAAACCCCATAAATAAATAATCAACAGCTAACAATTAAAATAACTTTTAAATAAAAAGGTCTTGGCCTGGTGCCGAAAAGCAAGTAACAACGTGCAGATAACATGTGCAGCAGTTCTGAACTTCTGTCATTGGTAGATGGCTGGCTCAAACACTACAAGACAATTACCTATCCATTTATCCCATTAAGACTTCTCATTGCTACCTTCACTTTCTTCTTTTCTTGGAGCGCCACAATAACCCAAGTTAGTGAGGTAGCTATCAAAGCTCACAGTGGGAAGGATAGAAGACATCAATTGAGTACAGCACATGATGTGCTAACTCCTGCTTTCAGGTTTCTTTTTCAGGGATGATTGTGGTTATAGGCCAAAACATTTGGAGAGCATCAGATTGGAGATGTTTGGACCAGAGAAAGAGGATGAATGGTATATGTGCAAGAGAATGAATGTGGTAGTTTTAAAAATGTAACCTTTAAAATTAAATTATATTGCTACTCTCAATACCAAGTGG